ATAAAGGATCACTGTATTTAACAACTTATAAACGTGCACTTAACAAAAGAGCACCAAAATAGGAAAAAACAGAAATGAAGGGAGAAAGAGTTCAATAGTAAGAGCTGGAGGATTTTTGTTGTGTAAAGAGCTTAGAAGTTCTCATTCTCACCCTCACAACAAGAAACAAATCTTATCAGACTGGAAAACAACTCTTCTTAGATGCATCAGGGAATTGAGGTCATAGAGCAAACTGTTGCCCCCAAAACTGAGCATAGAGCAGTTTGTCAAATGCAGTGTAAATATTTCTTCCAGTGTCAGCTCCTGGTCCTCGTAAGCTGTGATTCTCTGAATCTGTCTCTCCACTTAAATGATCTAATAAATTGTTTCTTTTTCAAAATAATAATTGGTGATTATACCTTATGGAAAGCAAACTGAATGACAGCATTATTCTGAGGATTGGGAGAGAGGAATTTGGAATACTGTGTTAAAAGGCACCTGTACCACCCCTGAAGGAATGCAGTGCTATTTGAAAGTAGACTTGGATTAGTTGTATGCTACAAACTCCGGGGCAACCACTAAAAAAATTTTTTTAAATAAGTGTATTTGATTATACTAAGAAAAGAGAAAAAAATGGAATCATAAAATCCTCAATTAAAACCTTCAGAAAAGGCAGAATAAAAGCAAATGATTAGAAAAAAAGAACAAGAGCAATGAATATAAAAGTTACATGTATGTGGGGTGCCTGGGTGGCTCAGTCAGTTAAGCATCGACTCTACATTTCAGTTCAGGTCATGATCTCACAGTTCGTGAGTTTGAGTCTCGCATCAGGTTCCGCTCTGGCAGTGTGGTGCCTACTTGGGATTCTCTCTCTCTCTGTCTCTCTCTCTCTCTGCCCCTCCCCAGCTCTCTCTCTTTCTGTCTCTCTCCAAGTAAGTAAATAAACTTAAAAAAAAAAAGGCATTACATAATGACAGACTGGGACTAGAGATAACCTCTTCAATCTGATGAAGGACATCTATGAAAATCTTAGCTAACATCATCCTTAATGGTGAAAGATTAGATGCTTTCCCCCTAAGATTAGGAATAAGACAAGGATGTTCACTCTTGCCACTTCTATTCAACATTGTACTGGAAGTCCTAGTCAGGGCAAGAAAAATAAATTAAAGGCATCTAGCTTGGAAAAAAGGTAAAATTAACCCTATCTGTAGATGATTTGATCTTGTGTATACAAAATCCTAAGCATACCACTAAAAAGCTATTAGAACTTATAAACAAGTTAAGCAAGGTTGTAGGATACAAAATGAAGACACAAAAATTCATTTTATTTCTATATGCTCTCAATGAAAATCTAAAAATGAAATTAAGAAAATGATTCCATTTACATTTCCATTTACAATTAAAAAAAAAAACAACTAGGAATAAATTTAAGAAAAGGGAAATACAAGCTTAAGATCAGAAAAATACCAAACATTGTTGAAAGAAATTAGAGAATATCTAAATAAATGGAAAAAATACCCATTTCATGTATCAGAAGAAGTAATATTGTTAAGATAGTAGTATTCCCCAAATTGGTCTACAAATTCAGTGTAACTCCAGAATAGTTGAAACAATATTGAAAAAAGAACAAAGTTGGAAGATTTATACTTTCCAATTTCAAAACTTAGTACAAAACGACAGTGATCAAGACAGTGTGGTATTGACATAAAGATAGACATAGATCAGTGGATTAGAATCGGAAGTCCAGAAATAAACCCAAAGGTCTGTGGTCAACTGATTTTTTTGACAAAGGTGCCAAGATGATTCAGTCGGGAGAAAACAAGTATTTCAACAACTTCTGCTAAGTCAAACACATATCCACATGCAAAAAAATGAAGCTATACCTTTATTTCACACCATACGCAAAAATTAACTCCAAATAGATCATGGACCTAAATGGCTGAGATAAAACTATAAAACTCGTAGAAAAAGCAAACTAGTAAATCTTCATGACCTGGATTTGGCAATGAGTTGTTAGGTACAACAAAAGTACAAGAGAGACATAAATTGGACTAATCAGAATTAAAAACTTTTCAGGTACCTGGATCACTCAGTCAGTTAAGTGTCCAATTCTTGATTTAGGCTCAGGTCATGATCTATATAGTTTGTGAGTTCAAGTCCCACGTTGGGCTCTGTGTTGTCAGCACAGAGCCTGCTTCAGATTCTGTCTCCCTCTCTGTCTGCTCCTCCCCTGCTCACTCTCTATCTCTCTCTCTCTCAAAAATAAATAACCCATTAAAAAGAAAACTTAAAAAATTTAAAACTTTCATGCTTCAAAGGACAATCGAAAAAGTGAAAAGAAAGTTCCCAGAATGAGAGTTGCAAATCATTTATAGGATAAGGAACTTGTACTTGGAATATATAAAGAACTGTTACAACTCAGTAATAAAAAAAATTTTTTTATATAGGCAAAGGGGGACGCCTGGGTGGCTTGGTGGGTTATTGCATCTGACTCTTGATTTCAGCTCAGGTCATGATCCTATGGGTCATGGGATCAAGCCCTGTGTCGGGCTCTGCACTGACAACGCAGAGCCTGCTTGGGATTCTCTCTCTTGTCCTCTAACTCAAAAAAATAAACTTTCAAAAAAAATAGGCAAAGGATTTGAATAGACATTTTTCCAAAGAATATAAACAAATGACTAATAAGCACCTGAAAAGGTGCTCGACACGATTAGTCATCAGGGAAATGCAAATCAAAACCACAGTGAGATACCACTAAGTTGGGTATTATGAAAAAGTCAGTTAATAACAAAGTTTGGTGAAAACATGGAGAAGAAATCAGAACCCCTAGTTACTGCTATTGAGAATATAAAATGGTGTAGCCACTAGGGAAAATAGTCCAGTCATTCCTTAGATCGTTAAAACATAGAGTTACAATGTGACCTAGCAATGTCACTCCTAGGTATGAACCCAGGACTAATGAAAACATATATCCACACAGAAACTTGTATATTCGTATTTATAGCAATTTATTTTTCATAGTAGCCAAAAGGTAGACTGTCAACTGACAGATTTTTTTTTAATGTGATACAGCCACACAGTGGAATATTATTTGGCCATAAAAAGGAATTAAGTCCTGCTGCATGCTATACAACATGGATGAACTTTGAAAACATTATTTTAAGTGAAAGAATCCAGTTACAAAAGACCACATATTGTATGATTCCATTTGTATGAAATGTCCAGAATATTAAATCGATAGAGACAGAAAGTAGATCTGTGTTTACTTTTAGGGTATATCAGAAAATAGGGAGTGGTAGCTAAAGAGTGTCAGGTTTCTTTGCATAGTAAATATTCTAACATTGTAGTGATGGTTGCACAATTCTGCAAATATACTAAAAACATGGAATTGTACGTGTTAAGTGAGTAAAGCTGTTAATGTAAAGAAAAACGGAAAAAAAACCCAGCTTTTTAAAAAGTTCAGTTCAGTTAAATAAACCAAGATGGCAAATATTTTTTTTTAAAACACAACTGTCCGCTGATATCCACAGAAGCTTGATTCATAATAGCTTCAAAATGCAAACAACCCAATTGTCCAGCAACTAATGCATGGATGAACAACATGGGGTATCTCTATACAGTGGAATATTATTTGGCCGTCAAAAGAAATAAAGTACACATTCTACAACATGGATGAACCTTAAAACATAATGCTAAGTAAAAAGGCAGTCAGAGAAGACCATGTGGTATATGATTGTATGTATATGAAATTTACAGAGAAGTCAAATCCATGAAGACAAAAGTAGATTCGTGGTTGCCAGGGGCTGGGGGAGGAAGAAATAGGAGAATGTGACTGTTAAGGGGTATAAGGTTTTCTGGGGAGGTGATGAAATTATTCTGAAATTAGACAGTGGGGATGCCTTCTCAACTCTGTGAATATACTAAAATCCAGTGAATTGTACACCTTAATAGGTTGGTTTTGATGATAAGTGAATTGCACTTCAATAAAGCTTTTTTTTTTTCTTTTTAAATCAATGCTTAATGTTTTCTGTGAAGACTGTTTCTTCATATTCTGGTACTTTATCCACAGAAGAGCTTTTGGGGGTTGTTTTTCAAGAAAATGTCTTTTAAGAATGAATTATACTGATTTCAGAATTGTATCTAATATGAGGAGTTATTTGTTCAGTGAAGACAAGTGTGCTATATCTTCTTTATCCACCACCCTCATACCATAGAGAACATTACTAAGTACATGTGATTAACTTAAGTTCATATGTATCCTGTTTTGTGCTCCTGCTATAATGGATTAGAGCTTCTGAAATTTTTATTCTTAGAGTGCTTTTTTCCCAGCTATTTATATTAGATGTGCCAAAACAACACAACAAAAATTTAATAGCATTTGGAACATACTAAATTTTCTATTTTCTTTCTTGATATTTTTCCATTTTTACGTACAAATGCACAATTTTAAAGGATTTGGTTAAATATTTAAAGAATACAAATGTTCTTTTTATAACTTCACTTTTTTGAAAGAACGATAGCATCACAGTTGATTTATACACATACACACACACATCTTTGGCTAATTTTAAGTGAAGGTAAATTGGTGGTTTCTAATTTGTTAGTGAGTAGGAGGGAGGAATATGCCTATGAATTTTAAAAAAATATATCTGCTTGTCTGTAAATCAGCTGAATGATTAAAAGCTATCTTTTGTCAGCATGTAACTACTTGCAGGATGAGGATGATAGAATGTTTTTGAATATGGGGTCTTTCTAAAAGGCCTATCTTTACATTTATTTTTTCAGTTATAAGAGTGTAAAAAATAAACTCTTAAGGTTTTTATATTTTCTTAGAATGGGAGATAAGGAGATAGAACTTTAGAACAAACCAAAAACTCAGAACTATTTCATTTTGAAAAATAACAAAACTGTACAAACTTTAAGAAAACAACATATTTCTCTAAATTAAGAGTGTTCATAAAAATGAGGATCCAGATGGTCAATTCAGACACAGTGTGTGATGCTATAATTTTTCCTCCTAGTGAAAAGGCTGGCCACAGAGAACCTGCAATACATGGTAAAAGCCTGCCAAGTGGGGTCAGAAGGAGAACCCGCCGCCCAGCTGACTTCTGTGTTTAGGTAACTGGAAAATACGCCAACTGGCAAGGGGACTATTGCCAGCCATTTGACAGCCAACATGTTTTTTAAATAACTAATTATCCAAAACATAATGTGTTACTACTTGTTACAGTATTTCAATTATTATATTTTTGGCAGTGGTTTTGTTACACTGTATTGTTTTATTAAAAAGACAAAAGTGCCAGGGAGGAAGACAAGTGAGCTGACTTCAAATTACTTGAGAATTGGGTGAAGAAGACTCCTGCATGTATTTAAGAGAAAAAAGTCAGGGTATGTGGGTCATGATGACAGGTGCACAGGCCCTCAGAGCTGCTACACATGTTACTCAGGATCCAGTGTAGAAGTACACATGACTGGTTGTTTCACTTGCTGTAGATACTATAGACCCAGAAAGCTTCATTGTATTTCAGTTGTGAAGCATGAACTGTATAAGAGTAGACCTGACGTTAGTTCCCAAGAACAGTAATGCAACGGGAGGAACATTTTCTGTGTTTTGTGTTATTGTAACGTTCTGTGTTTTATTGTCGTTTCCTGCCTTGCCTCCTCTAGAATCTTGTGCTTTCTGTTAGGGCAGTATTTTTAAATATTTCTTTCTCACAATTTCTACCAGTTCCCCTTTTAATATATGTATCTCTGCCCTAACACTGCCATGAGAAATAATGTGGGTCTGTTTTCTTCCGTGTTGGCTCTTTGATTCCTCAGTTCGTTTTCTCCTCACATAATTGGCACTCATCAGCTGTTTACAATTTATTTAAATTGGGATCACATGAAATAAATAGTGGCTTTGTAAGAATTATAAAACCCTAGGGGCGCCTGGGTGGCTCAGTCGGTTAAGCGTCCGACTTTGGCTCAGGTCATGATCTCACAGTTAATGGGTTCGAGCCCTGTGTCGGGCTCTGTGCTGACAGCTCAGAGCCTAGAGCCTGTTTCAGATTCTGTGTCTCCCCCTCTCTCTGCCCCTCCCCTGTTCATGCTCTGTCTCTGTCTCAAGAATAAATAAAACCCTAAGAAGGGAGAAAGGATTTTATATGAACAAGGAAGATTGCATGTTTGTTATGTACAACGTATTAAGCTAGGTGACTTTTTTTTGTTGGGGGGAGAGTGGAAATTTCAGGGCTAAAACATATAATTTTTTATAAAGGCCTCCTCTGGGTCTAAAATTTCCAGTTAAGGAATGTAAAAATATGTATTATGAGTAACTTGTTTTTCTCATAAAAATATTTTTTGATCTATTTAGAAATACGATGAACTAAGAAATACCTAGGAAGCTGGACTCATTTTTTTCTACATCCTTACCGCTCAGATTCTGACATGCAGAGAATAGCAGCAAAGTCCCTGGGACTAGATTTCCCCCCTTATTCTCCCTTCTCAGGTTCCAACCCTTCCCTCTTCCTACCAGTGCCATGGTTCTGGTCATGCATAGCTTACGCTGAAATAGGCCATTTCTGTCCTTTAGTCTTCATAGGGCATCTAGATTCTTAAGGTAATCTTACATGAAATGATCTTTCTGGTGTTCAGGTTACAGCTAATTGTTATATAGATACCAGCCCTGGGAACTTCCCCAGAAGTAATCCTTTGCAACTTGATTTACTTTCAGGCATTTTATCCAGGATTATGGTACGAGGTACGATAATCAGATTTACAGCGTTTTAGAAACAGTAGCAGCATTGGACCAGCAGGTTGTTATCCATTTGCTTTCTACCCTCACTCAGTCTCTGAAGGATTCAGAGCGGAAATGGGGCCTTGGCAGAAATATCGCACAAAGGTATGTTTGAAAATCTTATTACATTCTTTTGGGCAACAATTATAAAATTTAGATTCATTTCCTAGAAATGGCTTATTTTCCCATTCCTAAAAATTTGGGGTATGTTGGAGTTGATAAATGTTTCCATACTATGATTGACACATCGCGATTCACATACAGTTCTTTTCAAAGTGACCACCTTTGAAAGCTCTGTGTTTCATCAATGCTACTATTGCCAAAACACATTCAGTGTTCCTCATTGGGAGGTGGACTTTAGAGCCTCAGATGTGTTGCTGGATGCCCTATGAAGACTATAACACTTAAAATCCATGGTGGCATTATCTGCCCTTTGAGGGATGCCTTGATGTACTGAAACAACTGCATCATGTGTATCCAGTGAGTAAGGTGTGTGAGCCAATTAAATAATACGGTTTTTGGTCAAAAATAAGTAATAGGACTTTTTTTCTTATAGGCTTACAACCCAGTTTCAGATTGTGCTGGACTGTGTAACATAATGTAACACATGGAAATAGACCTGTAGTTCCTAAAGAGGTTGTTTTAGAGGAGTCAGCACTCATGAGAAGTCATATGTCCCAAGTTTGTTAAAGAATCAAAGTATTTTAGTCATATTGTGTGAGTGTGTGTGCGTGTAGACAGACACTCAGGTAGGCTCAGTTTGTAAATACTTAAAACGAAAAGTAGTGGAAAAGGTAATAAATGTATCTACATCTTTTCTTTTTTCTTAAACAGGGAAGCCTATAGCAAACTTTTATCTCACCTAGGACAAGTGGGACAAGATGAAATGCAGAGACTGGAGAGTGATAATACCTAACATATTTTGTGATTTGCCTTCTCTATTATAACTATCTGAAGCCGCTTTGCACCATTCTGATTCATACTTTTAATTGTGTGATGTTCTGTTAAAAATTCTTTCTAGGATTTTTTTCTTACATACCTGTAAGTATAAGGTACATAAATAAGGAAATAAAGGTTAATTAAATATATTACAGGACCTTTGGAACTTGGCAGAATTGCATTCTCTTTTGAAGAGTTTTTAGTTAAACTAACTTAAAGGAACCTTTTCTAACTGTGAGTGTTACATGTGTATGTCTGTTAAGTAGATTTGCACCAGTCAATCCAGGAACTTTTCACTGTAATGTGACTTTCTGTCTTGTGAGTGATTTGTTTTGTTTCTTACATGTTTTAATATGATGTGGGTGTTTTTTTGTTTTGTTTTATTTTGTGTTTTTTAACATTACCTGGCTGTTCTGTGCTGGTTTTGGGGAAAGGGGGGTTCAGGAGGTGGGATTGTATGTTTGTCATCTTTTGTTATACTGTGTCTAAGGCAAGTTAATAAATGCCCAGCACACTTAGCTCTGTGAGGAATGAGGCTGAGTCTGGCTAAATGAATATACAGATAGTATATAAAATGTTTTAAAACTTAAGCCAACAGTGTTTATGCTTAGGTCCCAACAGTTGCCAGATTTTTTTTTTTTCTTTAGTCGTCCTTCTTTTGGGGAATTTATTAAAAGACCTCTATCAGGAGGAGGATAAATAAGACCCTTTAAGAAAAGAGAAAATAACATCTAAAAAAATCTTCAGGTTACATTATTAACAGAAGAGTTCTGAGAACTCAGCCCATTTATCTCCTCATCAATTAGAGCCTTTTATAATTTAGCATCTTACATTATGTTTACAAGGAACCAGTTTAGTTTCCTTTAGCAGCTATTGTGTCTCAACTCTTTATTTCATCCAGATTTTTATTTTACCAGTTGGGCTCTTATCCTTGTCTCCTTTTTGTGGTGAGCTTTACTTGATGAAAGAACTCCAGTCCTAGTGTTGGGAACCCACCTAGGTCTCAAAGCCAGCTCTGCTTTGTAAACTTGAGCAAGTCACTTAACCTTGCTGAGCCTCAGTTTCTTCATGGAGAAAAAAAGAATACTAATCCTTTTTCTTTTTCACGGTGTCCTAGTAAGAATGAGGGGATAATGTATGTGAATGTATTGGTGACATACATTCTATTTGAGGTGTGCAGACATGATTACTAATCATGCCCAAAGGTAATGAACACCTCTCAATTTTGTCCCTTTTTCTCTAATAGGTCCTAGATGAATGAGCGCCCCCCCCCCTTGGGACCCCCACCCCCCCGGTTTTTTTCTTCAAATTTTTTCTTACACATCATGTTTGCTAACTTTGCGATAACTTACTGTTTCCTTCTTGGGACTCTAGTCTTTATCATGGTTCTTCTCTTCCTCCTTTTCTAACTCAAGAAGTATCTTTAAAGATGAAGTGTATTGCAGTCAGCGAACTATACTTATTAATGCTGTCCTTACTGTAATGTGTGAAGTCTAAAGGAGTATCTGTTGTTTTCACAACATACAAATAGTTTATCCCCCTGCCAGATCAGCTATTAGTACTTCAACACATGGAATGAATAAAAGCTTCGTTAAGGTTACTTAGTAGACTTTAAAGCAATGAGTTTTTCATTATCGTAGTGACTTACTAAACTTAATGTATTGCTTTGCAGGTTTCAGCAAATGAAGCGTACATCTGTTTAAGGTGATGCTTTTAAAGAAGTTATGTGTGTGTATATATATTTTTATTTCCAAAATAGGATTAATAAGATAGCTTTGAGAATCATGTTCCTTAGAATATGAAACTTTTAAGAGATGAGAAAAGCCACTGCTGAATCATGCATTAGGGCATATGTCTATAGATGCTAAGAATAAATAGTTTATACTTTAAAAATCCATAACAAAAAAAAAATCTGTGACAATACATATGTGTAAATACGTGTGTTGAAGTGTGTTTTTAATTGAAGAAAAAAAATTTATGACTCAGTTCATTTTCTTGAAAATCTTCACAGACCCTTCACTTAATAGGATAATCTTACCTTTTTTCTATTCCCAGATTTAGAGTAAGTACCTTATTCCTGCTTCCTTAATATGTATTTACCCCTAAAGAACCTGTACTCTGTGGGGCTGCTGCTTCTATCTCTCTATTGTAAGCCGTTCTCTTTTGGTGCAGTCTGAGAGTACATTCTCATTTCTCATGTCCTTTGGCCTGACGTCTGTGTTTTCCTTCATCTTGTCAACCCTTCCTTGGTGATACTCCTCCTCCCTACATACTGTACTTTGAAAGCACCCTCATGTTCTCCTTTCCGGTCCCCAGTGGTGAGATGTGGCTCTTCACTTGCTCCGTCTCAACATTCTTCTAGTAGTGAACTGCGAACACTAGCTCATAATTTCATCTCTGAAGTCTATTTCTAGTGCTAATTTCTCTCTAAACCCCTCTAGTTGGATCCTCCTGAAATCTCAAGGCAACATGTCAAGCTGCACTTGTCACTTATTTTCAACTAGCTGCTGCCTTTTCTACCCAGGGAATACACTGTTTTCACAAGTTATTTAGCCTTGAAACTTCAGAAGCATCTTGGATTCTTACATGCCCCCCACTTTCAGGTGATCACCAGTACAGGCTCTTGGTATTTTTTTCTTTTTTCCATCCTGTACACCCTAACTGTCTTTCCTACTGTGCTCTATTGATCTTCTTACCTCCTTATCTCTGATCTTCTTCCCTGTAATTCATCCTCACACAGTTCTGGCATTAGTGTTGCTAAAATAATCCTTTCTTCCTGTTACTTTTCTGCTCAAGGACCTCCAGTTACTTGCCAGTGTCAATAAGCTGACATTCAGACTCTTCAGGACACTTTTCTGCCATCCGACTCTACCTTTTCTATGCAAACTTAACTCACACAGGAGACTAGACTGCCTTAGACATCTGAATGCCATGTTCATTCTGCACTCTGAGCTTCATTCAGCTTGCCAGGAGAGAATACTACCCTTTCTACAGAAACCTAGCCTTAAGACACTTAAGTAGGAAGACAGTTAAAATATAAGTATTCCAGTCAAATAATTTCTGTAAAATATCAGATGGAATATAAAAGAGATGATTGAAGGACAACAGAGTGGTAGAAAGGACTTTATTAGACATTCAGATTTGGTTATGATTTAAATTTTAATTGAACATTTAATTAGGTTTTCATGGGGGAGTAAAAAACATGGAGTATGATCTCTGTACAGAAATCTTTTAGTATTGACTTCATTTGCATTAGAAGAGTTTCATAGTTTAAAACTTTTATATCTTTACCTATTCCTAGCATATTTTTTCTTAAGCCTATTTGACTTTTTCTACCTGGGCATCTATATTAAAAACAAAAACAAAAACAAAACTTACCTGTAGCCTGTGTGTGTGTTCTTTACCCATTATTATTTTCTTTCATGCTTCATCACAAATTTTTAAAACTATTTTGTTCTTAAAGAATTACGTGTACTTTAACAGAATCTTTGACAGCTTTTATTTTTACATCCCTTTGTTAAAATTATCTGTTCTATAAAAATTTGACAAGTTTCTGCAGTTGGGAAAAGCCTCTAGGAAACCTGTCTTCCCTCAATCCTATAGATTTTATGTAAACCTTACATTTTTCCAAAAGCTCTTCTCCTGTCTTCTCCTCCTAGGGTTAAAAATACTGCCTTGTCAGTCAAGTACATAGCATGCCAATATAAATACCATGTTTTGTTTGCTTAAGACAGTTGGTTTGGGAAGATAGCAAAGTAGCATATTTTTTCACATATTTAATAAGATATAAGATTTGTACTTAGATTCAGTGATAATCTATATTGCTAAGATTACCAAAATAAGTACTACATGATTGGAATTGAATAACTTCTGCTTATTAAAGTTTTTGGTGTGCTAGTAGTTATCCAGTTTATAGCATTTATTGCATTTGTGAATTGTGTTTTCAGAAAATGCTGGGCCTTATTGTATATTGATAAGTTAATTGTGCATATAATAATTTTTTAAATGTATATATTTAGTTTATACTTCATGATTATTACACTTCCTTTTTTATGAAATATTATTTGAAAACCAAAATAAAAATGAACCATATTACTTGGAAGAATAATTTCTATGTTGTTCCTGTTTTAATATTCTGTGGCAAAACAAAGTTTTTTCGTCATTTCAACAGTTGAAAGGTATACAGTATACTTGGGGTTAAACTTTGAAGAAAACATGAAGAAAAAGGAAGAAAAATATCTTAATCGTAACCTAACGAGAAAAATATCCTAATCATAACCAAATTGGTATTTTGTTATTAAGAATCTAAGGAACTTCATTGCACTTTACATTGTTTTACAGATTAATGTCTTTGCTGGCTTTTCTTCCTACACAAAGGAACGCTGTGCTAATACCTATGCAGTACTGTGTTTTCTTTTAGATAGTAAAATCTGAAAATGGTGTTTAAGTGGTTGGAATTTTCATGCTTTTCTTATGGAAATTCAAATTAACCTAATAATTTAACTACAGATACAATATGGTCTATAATTTTAAAGAGTAAAAATGAGAGATGAATTACTATAGTTCACTAAAATAGAAAATATATATTTGAATAGTTTCAGTGGAATTTGGTTTTATGAGCACAGTTTTCTGGAATCTTTGAGGAAAATGATCTAATCATAAGCATTCTGCGTTTTATTTTTCCTAGGAATGTTGTACTTTAGAGGCTATCTTTGGCTATACTGTAAAGAATATTTTCTAATTCTGAGTTCGATTCTGTAATATTAGTGGATAATACATTAAAGTTTCCCAAGAAAGTGTTTGCTAATATACTGATTTGTTTTAAATGAATAGTTAGAAATCTATACAGAAAATATCAAGAGTAATCTCAGGGTACCTTTTCATTATTAGTCAGGCAAGCTTATTTTTAGACCATTTTCCTTTCATTCATTGGATATAGGATGCGGGATTACAGATGTAATGGTTTTATAAGGTAAA